CTGCCGGCTCTAAAAGTGCGGCGATGCCCACCCAAAGCAGAGGGAAGACTGTGGGCGTGGGCATGCCCGTGTCCCAGCTCCGTGACTGGGGACCTGCCAAGCCACGTGCCCTGCACAGTCCCCGGTTTCCCGGGGAGGAAAGAGCGAGGAGGGAGGGGCAGGACAGAGGCTAGTCACCTCCCCGCAGTGAACAATGGCAGCGAGGGAGCAATGAGCGAGGAGGTGCCGGCAGGCTCGGCCTTCACCTTCCCGCTGGCTGTGACCTTGGGCGGTCCCTGAAGCGGAGAGGGGTTTCTTCGCAGGGTGAGAGCTTCCCAGGTGTGGGAGGAAAGCCAGCGTCAGACCTCCTTTGCCCACCTGACGGCGTTGGAGCGAGGAGGGAGGCCTGCCAGCTGCCTCGGGCGCCTGAGCAAAGGGGGTGGAAGAGCAGGGGCTGCCCCCCAGGAGTGGGGGGTGGGGATGCGCGGGACAGCGGCAGCGCTGCATCCTCAAGGTCGCAGTCTAGAGGCCGGAGGTCTCAGAGTGAGGCGCAGCGGGTCAGAATCTGCCCTCCCAGCACATGCCACTCTGGCATAAGAATTCCTTTAATCTGCTCTAGAAAAAATTAGAGCAACTGAGAATCGACACGTGCAGAAGGAAACCTTCTAGTTTTCCTTCGCTGACCACAAGCAGGAACTTCGGAGAAATGAGACCTGCCACACATCCCCTCTCCCTGGGGGGCTTGGCATGAGGAAGACAGACAGCACCAAGAAGGGTCTGCACATAGCCCTTACATGATAGCCCTGATATGATAGCCCTTATACAATAGCCCTTACATGGTAGCCCTTATATGATAGCCCTTATAATAGCCCTTATACAATAGCCCTTACATGATAGCCCTTATATAATAGCCTTTATACAGTAGCCCTTACATGGTAGCCCTTATATGATAGCCCTTATATATAGCCCTTATATGATATCCCTTACACAGTAGCCCTTATATGCTAGCCCTTGTACAATAGCCCTTGTACAATAGCCCTTATACCAGGGGTCCTCAAACTTTTTAAACAGGGGGCCAGTTCACTGTCCCTCAGACCGTTGGAGGGCCGGACTATAGTTTAAAAAAAAACAACTATGAAATTCCTATGCACACTGCACATATCTTATTTTGAAGTAAAAAAACAAAACGGGAACAAATACAATATTTGTATTTGCATGTGGCCCACGGGCCATAGTTTGAGGACCTAGTTTACTGCCCCAGACCAAACTCCTTGCCCTTTGTCTTGTCACATCTCCACATTTACTATTTTTTTGTTAAAAAGGTATGAAAAATCTCGGGCCTAAGTGCTTCCTCCCTTTGTATTTGTAACAACTGCAGGGCCCCAGTCACTGAATCTGAGAGGGCAGAGGGAAACGCCCTCCCTTCCTCACAGAGCTGTTGTGTACAGAGCCACTCGGATCCTGGCACAGGGCAAGGTGAGTACCCAGGGCTTACCCTCCAGCTCCCAGGTCCTCCCGAGGCCTGCTGCCTGGACTCGGGGCTCCCACCCCTGCCTCAGCAGAGCCACTTGGTGGGCTTTAACACCATTCCCAAACCAGGGTTCCAAACCAGACATCCCAGTGAGAACCTCTGAGGGGGGCGCCAGCAACCGTGTTGTTGAAGCCTCCGGGAGAGCGGGCTGTGCAGCGACCAAGATGCAGGGCAGCCCAGCCTCCCTGAGCTCCTGGTTTCATTGAGAAGTGCGGTACCTATGCCGTGGCCCAGCCTTTACAGGGCATCTCCCTCTGTCCTCACGGAAATCCCTGGTGTGTACGTTACAAATGAGGCCCCGAGAAGTTAGATGAAATTCAAACATTAAAAAGAGCCAGGAAATGGCAAGGCAAAACTTGAACTCGGGGCTCTCTGCGCTCAGCCTCAGACACCTGGAGTGTCTGTGTTTGCTGTGCTTTCAAATAAATTGTCGCTGCTCCATCTAAGTGTTCTAGGCTCACACCCTCCCCCCTGGCTGCTCCTACCTCATCCTCCAGAAATGCTAACGGACCCATCCCAGAATTGCTGCTGGGAAATGCTATCACCGTGCTTCTGGCCGTGTGCGATGTTCTTTCCCCGGCTGCAATAAACAGCCTCTCCTTGTCCTTCAATATCCAATGGCACCTCCCTGAAGGGACATAGTGCAGCTACCCCGTCATCTCCGCCAAGAGGCAGCAGAGTGTGGAATCAGTAGGAATATAGACTCAAGAGCTAGAACACCTCTCACCAGGTGTGTGACCTTGTGTAAGTTATCCCTGCCTCACTTTAACCTTCCACAAAATGTGATCATACCTATCGTATAGTGCTGCTAAGGGGCTCAAAAGTTAACACAGGTCAGCACTGAGCAGAACATCTGGTCTCTGACTCAGTCAGTGTTCCTGACACACACCAGCCACCGGACTAGCACTCTGTACTGTCTTCCTTCCTTTCATCTCCACCTCACTTCTTGACTATGAATTCCTTAAGGCAAACACTCAGTCTTATTCATCTGTCTAACCCCAGGGGAAGCTCTATGCTCAATAAAATGTGAATGAGTGAATAATCAGTAATGTGTCACTCAGTTCCCACTGAAATCTCAAGGTATACAGCCAAAGTTGGTGAATAGTTAATAGCTATGGAACAGAATGAAGCGAACTCATTCAAAACAGACATGCATCACGATCTTGACCTCATGCAACTATTGTAACAGTTGGAGAGCCTTTATCACTTAATCCCTACTAGGGAAAACCAGGTGCTTGGAAGAACTGAGGAATCGGTGATGAGATGCTGTCACCAAGGTACCAAGTCAGAGTGCTGAGGCCTGACCATGCTCCTGAAGAACCAGCACAGGGGAGCAAGCTGAGAAGATCAGGAATTTCAGTTAAGTGTTCCTGCCCAACTCTGAAAATGCCAGAAGAGAGACACATTTCCCCATCCACCGGCTTCCTCTAAAAAAATCTTATCTGTCCCTGGGGAACCCTGTTATCCTTTATATCAACCAATGGAAAGGACATTTGGAGGACGCTTTATCCAATGCTTCTTTAACATTAGATTTAAACCTGCTCACCCACAGCTTTTTTAGACACAATTGAAAATAAACATTGCAAAGTCTTGCTCACTGAGCTGTAAGTATTCTGTGTGAGTCTTCATTTTTATACCAGGATTTGTCTCTGTAAGTTTCTAACACCCTAGAAATCACATTTCTTCAGGGGATTTTATGCTGTTTTATAGCAACCTGCATCCAGGTTGCATTCCTTCTTGAGGGACAAGACCAAAAGTAGGTTCTACCACTTCTGCATCAGAAGAGCTAGTTTAGAAATTCCATGGCCTAGAATGGTTTGGTATTTCCCCCTCTGCTTATCATAAAACACCCAACAAAAGAATGATTGACAACTAAATTGAATTCCACTCTTTCATCCACCTATATTCAAATTTGTGATTGATTGAAAAAAAAATCTACCTTATGTCAGGCACTGTGCTAGGTATGCACTTATTGTTGATATGACATAGAAAAGTACAATGTGCACCATCAACAGTCTAATAGGAGAGGAATAATACACAATCAGATGACTATAGCTATGCCAAGTGCAAGGAGAAAACTATGTATATTACCCAACAACAGAGAAAGGGTACTTGAACCAGTCTTGGCATACTACTAAAGGCTTCTTGGAGGAGGTGATTCTTAAAAGGGAGAACAGAAATGTAGGAAATGAGTCAGAGAGGAGAAAGCACAGCAGGGAAGCCATGGAGGGCAGTGGCATGTGTGGGCGGCGGACAGCGGGAAAGCGTTAGTGTTAGAGGAAGTGGCCAGAGGGGGAAGGTCATGGCGGTCCTCGTAGGTCGTTTCCATTGGAACAATCCCCCCCCATGCTGTATGAAACTTTCCTATAAATCACGAATCACAATAACTGAAATTCATATTGGCTTTTTATCCACGTGGAGCTTCAATCTATCAATATTCAAACCATTGGCAACATGTTTGCAGTCCGGGTTATTTTTTGGGGGGAAGGGGGGTATTTCAGTGAGAAAGAAATACAAATAGAAAGCAGAAAAACACATATTCCATTTTTGCTTATAGAAGTTTATATTTCCTAATATATTTTTAAAGGGGTAAAATACTATGAGATAAAGCCACCAAAATAATCTGACAGTTCTTCACAGTAACTGCCCTGCCTTGTGGGGACAATGAAAAGGGCAAAGAAACCTTATCAAAGAATTGGAATGAAAAAGAAAGGAACCAAACACATTTCTAGGAAGAAAATAAAGGTATTACGATGAGAGTAACCATCAGCTGCTGGGGCGAGAGGGCCGTACCAGCAAGTAATGGCCTGTCCCTGGCGGCGACTGCCTTAAAGAATGCTCGGCCAGCTCCTGCGTAATGTGGGTGTGAGCCCCGCACGCAAGGAGTGCTAGCTCAGCCCATGTAAGATGAGTGTCTCATGGGGACAGACAAGATCGCTGGGACACAGCTGGCATCTCTGGCAGGGCAAACATGCCTCGTTTATTCCAGAACAAACATTCTCACTTCGCTTATTCACAACAGATTGAGAGTCATGATTTCCCACTTTTCAGGAAACGTGATCCTTGGTGCTCAAAGTCAGTATTCACCAAGTATAGTACCTAAAGCCTTCCGGGGCCCTTCCATGAACTTGGCCTCTTCCAGGAATCAGTCTGAAAAAATAGGTAGAAATGCCTCCTGGCAGCCTTGAAGTCGCACTGACCTGTCAGCGATTTGCTGTGTGTTCTTGGGAAGTGAGTCATGTAAATAGCCTTCCTAAGTCTCTGCTTGTTTCTTGACACACAGGGAGAACCACAAGTCCCAGAAGGTACTGCTAACTCTCCTGGTGAGAGTCCCAGCAAGTGGTGGGCGATATTTCCCTCTGACAATGAACGGAACTCCCAGGTCTCTTCTCGCAAGGAGCAGCCTTCAACACTGCCCATTTTAATGAAAGTCACTGAAAAGATCAAACACAGCATTCCCGTAGCTACTCTGTACATGGTCGAGTGGCTTATTTGTTTTTGTTGTTGTTTTAATCCTCACCTGAGAATATGTTTTATTGGTTTTTAGAGAGAGAGGAAGGGGGAGAGAGGGAGAGAGAGAAACATCGATGTGAGAGAGAACATCGATCAGTTACCGCCCATACATGCTCCAATTGGGCTCAAACCTGCACCCTAAGTACATGCCCTGTCCAGAATTGAACCTGCAACATTTTGGTGTACAGGATGATGCTCCAACCAACTGAGCCACCCGGCTGGAGCATGATTTGGTTTTATTTATTTATTTGCAGTGCGAGGACACCTCTTTAGCTACTCAACATAAGGTGTTACAGCAAATACCGGCCCCATTGCATGATAACAGCTGTTGCTCTCAAACAAGTTAATATTTTGACTTCCATAAAATGTTTTGCTCCCCTTAACAACACTGAACCAACACTTTGTTGATGTGAATAATAGACTTGGCTACTCCAAGACTGGAAGCAATGAATTTGAGTGCTAGGAAGAACACTATTAAAATCTATCATATTTTTAAAATAACTATATTTAAAAGTCACTTTAATTTTAGTTCCATACCCCCAAACTAGTTTGTAAAGAGTAATAAATAGTAAAAGCAAAACTGATATTGACTCATCATACCAAAACTAAATAGTAAAATAAAAGGACTTACCAATTCTCCTCTAATTAACAAGTAGATTTTGTTTGAAAGTATATATTGCTTGTTAGGTACATGAAACAATTTCCCCTATAGTGTAATCAAGAAGGTGATTGGAAATGCAGACAGCTCATTGCAAAGCTCGATCTTTGCATTGAGAAACCTAGACAATCTCAGATTCATCAGCTTTCAACTGGTGGCAATAAACTCTAGCTCACAGTGCTGTCACCAAGATCCAAGGGGGCAATATGTGTACAGCAGGTGGGCCTGCACAGTGACTGCTCACAATAGGAGCTGGCATATGCGCCCATCAATCCACTCAATTTGTAATAAAAATGAAATAAGCCACTTTGTTGTGACATGAGTGATTTGTAAGATCAAAAATAAATGTCTCTTTTTAGACAGTTGCCAATAGGCTAGTAGGTTTCGATCCAAAAGCTTACATTCCATATTCACAGGGTGTCTTCCACTTAACATGTCCCAAAACCACCTCTTTAAAGTCAGCCTTCCCCACCTCTAATTATAGCAACTCCATCCCGCCCGTTGGTAAGGATAAAAAAGGGTCATCACTGCCTGTTCTTTCCCTCACACCCTACACCCAGCCCATTAGCAAGTCTGGCCAACTGCTTTCAGAATGTGACCAGGTCCTGTGAGCTTCTGCCTCCAGGAAGATGAAGCAGCCACACTTGCCCTGTCGTTTCTTTTATTCACAACCGAAAGCCCTGGAGATTATCCATGAAATAAAGAGAAGATCCGAATGATGAAGAGAAGGGGCGGACCAATTAGGGACCTTGGAACCCAAGGAATGACGCGGTGGTGAGTTACCTGGAATTTCTTTTGGCCTCATTTATCTCGTACTGAAGTAGAGGAGTCAGACACTGACACCAAAAACCTGGTTTATTTAGACCAACCACCAGGAAAAGGGCAGCATATCAACACAGAAAACATTTATGTGATAACTGCTCACTGCAGTCAAACACCACAGGATAAAACTTCAACAAAGTCTGAGTGGAGGGTCTAGTTCCACCCTCAGCAGACCATAGGGAACATGCCAGCACCCCCTGCAGGGGTGGTGTCAGAGAAGGAAGTGGGTGGGACTTTGATCACTACCAGGTATCAGTGGAAATGAAAAGCCAGCAACTAAGAAATGCCAACAATCACAGACCCCCCAAAAAAGCCCCAATAAAACTATTTAACCAAAAGATTAAGGGGTCACCAAACAAGGCAGAAAACTTTTAGAAAATAACTACTCTATACCGGTAAAACATTACAGAATAAAGCAGTGGCCCTCAATTGCACTCAGATCAGCAAAGACCTAGAGCAGAGGCTAGACTTCAACCCTTAATAGGCTATAACAAGGTGCCCCCTACACCACCACCAAACATGCACACAAGGATATGGCAGAAAAGGCTGAATAAGGAATCAGGACTTTCATCTATGCAGGGGTAATGAAGCCACCATTCACAGAAACAGTAGAAACCACGTGCAGAGCTGGACTTCCATGCCTACAAAATGGAAATGAGGCACCCCTGCCCTATTGGGGGTTTCTAAGGAAGCCTCATAGAGAGTGAAAACGTTCACCACCACCCAGTAGTAATGGGGCCACCCCTGGATACTCACCATGTCAGTGGAAGCCATAGTAGAAGCTGTAATGATCCAAGCCTCAGCCTACTGGCCAGGATGGTATCAATGGAACCATAGTAGGAAGCCAAAATTCTCATCATTACCCAGCAGTACCAAGAAGGGCTCCACACCCTGGCTGGTTTGACTCAGCTGTTAGAACATCAAACCACAGCCTGAAGGGTTGTGGGTTTGATTCCCAGTCAAGGGCACATACCTCCGTTGCAGGTCCAATCCCTGGCCTTGGTCAGGACATGTGCTGGAGGCAACCAATCCCAATCAATAAGTCTCTCACACGTTGATGTGTCTCTCCTCCTCCCTCCCTTCCTTCCACTCTCTCTAAAAATCAATGGGAAAAAAATAGCTTCAGGTGAGGATTAAAAAAGAAGAAGAAGTGTGCCGTGCCAGCATGGCCAAGGATGAACCTGAGGAGAGGCGGTGAAAGATTGAAGAAAAGACAGACAAGAGAATACAGCTGGGGCTCGGTGGATCTCCCGTGTCTGGATGAGGACACGAAAGACCCAGCCTGCAAGCTGATGCTTTCTTTTATAGTCTGATTAAAACAAGGGTAGCCATGGCTGGTTTGGCTCAGTGGATGGAGCGTCAGTCTGCGGACTGAAGGGTCCCAGGTTTGATTCCAGTCAGGGGCATGTACCTTGGTTGCGGGCACATCCCCAGTGGGGGGTGTGCAGGAGGCAGCTGATCGATGTTTCACTCTCACCGATGTTTCTAACTCTCTATCTCTCTCCCTTCCTCTCTGTAAACAAATCAATAAAATATATTTTTAAAAAAGAATCGTATCTGTGGAAAATCCACACTAAATAAACCTGATAAAGCATGTTTTCAACTCCATTATAAGTTGGTCTTAGTCATTGATGGTTTCTTCAGGCTTCATTATGCTAGGAGAGCTCTGCCCTCCAGGCTGGGACTTGTTTGTGGCCCTGCCACAGGTCAGCCCGAGGCTTAACCCTGGAGCCGCTCCCTACAAGGAAGAAGAAGGGTTTCTCCTCATGTCAACACAGATCAAGTGGGGAACCTGGAATTCCACTCCCACCTTATTTTTAATGTCCACTCTTCCTAGGATCAGTATCAAAAAAGCCAACCAAAACAGAAGTCCCAGAGTCGTATAGCATAATACCCCCCAAGTTCCAAGTTTTAATTGAAAAATAAAAGACTATTCATACAAAGAGTGAAAAAATGTCAACTTCAATGAAAAAGATTATGCAACACATGCCAACAAATAGAGTAGAAGTGTTAGTATTATTTAACAAAAATTGTAAATAATCTATGACAAAATGTCTCAAAGAGAAAGATGAACATACTTGAACTAAATTGAAGAAAAAGTCTTGGCACATAAACAGAAAACATAAAGAAGACCCAAAAGGAAGAAATGAAAAAATATAATAACCAAAAATAAAAACTCAGTTGGTGTTCTGAATAGTGGAATGGAGTGAAGAATGGAGATATACTAAAAAATACTAGATAAATCAAAATTAAATGAAATTCCAAAATAACAAACAAACAAGTAACTTATTATAAGAGAGGAGAAAAAACATGGAAAATTAAAAGCAGAATAAAGAGAAAACAAAAAATAAAATGGCAGGGTAAAGTCCTAACATATCAACTATGAAATCAAATGTAAATGGTGATGATACACTAATTAAATAAAAATTTTTGCTTTAATGTATATGTACCTAACAAGAGGGTATCAAACTACTTGAGGCTAAAACTGATAGAACTGCAAGTGATAGCATTATAATTAGTTAATCTATAATAATAAAAGCATAATATGCTAATTAGACCAAACATCCTTTCAGAGGACCTTCCAGACGAAGCTGGGGCTGCGAGGGAAGCCCGGGTCCCGGGTGCCTGCAGGCAACCAGAGGGAAGGCTGGGTTCCGGGTGCCAGAGGGAAGCTGGTGCCAGCAGCAGAGGAAGGAATGCCTACTCTTGCATGAATTTCATGCATCAGGCCTCTAGTCTATACTAATAAAAGGGTAATATGCTAATTCGACCGGGAGACCTTCCGGGAGACCTTCCAGACATCCTCCCAGACAAAGCCATGGTGGCAAGGCTGAGGGAGAGGCAGTTAGAGGAGATCAGGCTAAGAGGGGAGGGCAGTTGGGGGTGATAAGGCCAGTGGGGGGGGGGC